TTTAATCAAAAATACAAAAAAAATACAGAACAGTAGTAATTTGAAGTATTATAACATTTGAAAACAACTGTTTTCTATTATAATATATTTTAAAACGTACTTTAGAGATCAGAGCTGATTTTCAGCATCATTACTCCAGTCTTCCTGATCTAATATGCTGATTTGATGCATAACATTTCTCCTTATTAGAAATTGCTATCAGTATTAGTAGGCTAACTATATTAAACCCTGTTCAGGTTAAGCTGACTTCTCTGCTGAAGACAGAACAGTATGATCTGAACTTGCTTGTGAGAGCCATGGAGGGAGAGGTACAGTAGCACACCACAAGCTTACTGTACTCTGCTATGTATTTCTTTCTCATTGCTTTAGATGTTTTTTACCGATAGGAAGTCGCCTTTCCTGGTCTGACTGAGAGTGAAAACACACACTTACTATTCAGCCTTCAGAGACTCAACAAAATAGGAGAGGTACCCAAATGTAAACGCACCAGTTAACATGTTAAAGCTAAAAGAAAGATAATGCTGGTGGGAATGACTGAACATACTCCACACGCTGTGTTTAGGCAAGTGTTAATAAAGTCCGTGTCCTGGTGGATGCTGAGTACACTTACATGAACCCTGCCCTGTCACTCATCACCATGGCGATGATGAAGAAGTTCAACCAAGAAAGCGCCTGGATCTGGAACACATATCAGTGCTACCTTAAGGTTGCCACGAACCTTCATTATTTAGTAAAAAAAAATCTGTATAATCTATGTCTTTACAGATATACTTGTTTCTTCACACACAGGAATCAAAGAATCTATTACTTGATGCCATTCAGACGTCCATTGATCAGAGTTTCTGTGTCGGGGTTAAACTCGTCAGAGGTGCTTACATGGACAAAGAGAGAAAACTGGCCCAAAAAGAAGGGCGAACAGATCCAATTCATGAATCATGGGAGCACACTAACGACAGGTGATTCTTTGACTCCAAATCACACTTTGGCTGATAATTTAGTCACCCCAATGTCATCCAAGATGTCCATGTCTTTCTTTCTTCAGTCGAAAAGAAATTAAGGTTTTTGATGAAAACATTCCAGGATTTTTCTCTAAATAATGGACTTCAATGGGAACCAAACGGTTCAAGGTCCAAAAGACGGTTTCAGTGCAAACTGTTCAAAGGGCTTTAAACGATTCCAGACGATCAATAAGGGTCTTATCGAATGAATTTTGATGAACAGGAGTGTCACAAACCTGCAACGCAGAACAGAGCAAGGCGATCATTTGAGCTTATAAAACTTAAACTTTGTTATTTGTTTTTGCAATGAGCGATCGTTTCGCTTGATAAGACCCTTATTCATCGTCTGGAATCGTTTAAAGCCCTTTGAACAGTTTGCAGTTTGTACTGAAACTCTCTTTTGGACCTTGAACCGTTTGGTTCCCATTGAAGTCCATTATATGGAGAAAAATCCTGGAATGTTTTCATCAAAAACCTTAATTTCTTTTCGACTGAAGAAAGAAAGACAAGGATATCTTGGATGACATGGGGGTGAGTCAATTATCAGCAAACGTTTTTTTAAAGTGAACTACTACTTTAAAAATGGAAAAAAAAACATTAGCTTTGAGAATTGCCAATGGGTATAAATAACCTGCAAATATATGAGTTATTTACTGCTGAATTTTTTTTTTTTTTTTTTTTTTAGATCCATATTACTCTTTGTGCCACAATTTTAATTTTTTAATTTTTTATCTTATAGGCTACAACTAATTTCCCCTTGCAATTTGTGTTTTCAATTCCTTTTACAGCCAGTTTTTTTAATTGTCTTATTTTATTTGCAGTTATAATGGATGTCTGGAGATCATGCTGAACCTTATTTCAGAGAAACCAGAACGCTATATGATCATTGTGGCCACTCACAATGAAGAATCAGTCAGACGGGCGGTGACACGGTACACCCTCATAAACGGGTCATTCCACTGACAAGGCATTTTCAGCATTGTAAAGAAGATCAGTGTTTTGATCAGTATGTTGTTTCAGGATGGAAGAGTTGGGGCTTCGCAGAGATGGAAACTCTGTCTGTTTTGGTCAGCTGCTGGGCATGTGTGACCATGTCTCTCTCACTCTAGGTGAGTCTCATTGTATTCTGAGTTAATTCATTTCCTTGCCTCTGGAACATCCGTCAACCCTCACGTTCATCTTCTCAGCCCAGCATGGTTTCTCAGTGTACAAGTCAGTGCCGTACGGCTCAGTGGACGACACACTGCCATATCTGGTGCGAAGGGCTCAGGAGAACCGCACTGTGCTCCAGGGAATCCGTAAGGAAAGAGATCTACTCAGACAGGAGCTCCGTCGCAGACTCAAAGAAAAGATCACAGGGGCCAGATAGAAAAACTTCAGAAGAGAGAAAAATCAGGGGAAAGGGCAAGTGGCAAAAGACTTTTAAAGGGATAGTTCACTTTGAAATTATTTTTTGATATGTTTTATCTTACCTCAAGGGCATCTAAGATGTAGGTGTCTTTGTTTCCGCAGTATTTTCAGTTTTGATATTTTTAGGTCAAACCGTTCTTCTGTCAGTCATATAATGGAGGTCTATGGTCACCACCTCAAAGAGCATGCACAGAGAAGTCCAAATTAAACATGATTTAATGACTCGTAAATGTAAGTACACATTGATGGCCTGAGACATGAAACGAGCGGTTTGTGTGAGAAAACGAACAGTATTTATATTGTTTTTACCTCTTGTAACCACAGCCACGTCCAAGTGATCTGAGGGCGCGGGTGCTTTGTGGCTTATATTTAATGATATAAATATTGTTTTAATACGTTTTCTCACACAAACCGCTCGTTTCGTGTCCTACGCCATTTATGAGTCATTAAATCATGTTTAATTTTGACTTCTCTGCGCATGCTCTTTGAGGTGGTGACCATAGACCTGCATTATATGACTGACAAACAAGAACGGTTTGACCTAAAAATATCCAAACTGAAAATACTGCGGAAACAAAGACACCTACATCTTGGATGCCCTTGAGGTAAGCTAAAACATATCAAAAATTAATTTCAAAAGCAATTATCCCTTTAATACATCTTAACTCGACTGATTGCCATGCATTTGGCACGTTAGCCTTCTATCTAGGATATAAAATAGCGCCTTCTAGTGGACATTTATGATGATTTAGAATTGAAGTGAGCATGAAATCAAAATTGTCCATTTCTTAATGCATGTTTCTGTTCTTACTATATATAATTGCATTAGAATCGAAATGCACAATTCCTCAGTCCAAAATATTCCAAAGAAAAAAAGTTTACCTTTGTAACATATATTGCATTAAAATCCACATCAGAATCATAATTCCTCTCTTTGCCGCGGTTGTCAGTTCAAGAACAACAATCTAATATGTACTCATTTGACGTGCTACTTGTGTAGCACTGTTTACCTAACCTTATTTTAAACCCTCTCTTTGTCTATCACCAAATGGAAAAGGAGGAAAGAGAAATCAGTGGAGGTGGGAAAATGAAGGAGGGGGTTGAGGTAATTATCACCTGGACTTTAATGACTGTTCCTGAGTACCTAACGCTCTCAACACCTGACCATACATGAGCAAATGTTGTGCAGAACTGGAATCAACCCTGAAGGCGACTGACACTCAGAGCTGATGGTGAAAATACTGGATTGTTTTCACAGATATGTTTTTATTTTGAAATGAGATTCTCACTTTCATGTTATTTCACAATTTTAATGTGTAATACTTTTACTTTCTTTCGCTATTTGCGGCCAATTGCATGTAAGTAACTTGTGGTTGGCTGGCAAAATGCAGCAGCCTTATCCAAATTTCTTTGCCAAGATTTTACAATTGAAAGAATAGAGCATCTGCAAAAGCAAACTAACCTGGTAACAGTTTGCCTCATTCAAGAATTGGTCAGGTATTTGGCCAATGAAATTAGATTCACTAATATATTTCATTTCATGACAGGAATAAGCACTGTTATGTTGTAATGTTTATTAATTAATGTGCAATGACTTTATACTGTATACAGTGTAAGGAATATTAGTGTGAAATGCCTATAGTTAATGTGATGAAGCACATCTATGGTTACCTTGCAAGGACATCCAGGGGACAGGAAAGTTTTTGCAGCATTCATTTGCGGATGCAAGCTGATTTCACATTTTGGTATGTCATTTTAAAGGAGTAGTTCACTTTTAAAAAAAACTTTTGCTGATACTTTACTCACACCCATGTCATCCATGTCTTTCTTTCTTCAGTCGAAAAGAAAATAAGGATTTTGATGAAAATATTCCAGGATTTTCTCCATATAATGGACTTCAATGGGAACCAAACGGTTCAAGGTCCAAAAGACAATTTCAGTGCAAACTGTTCAGAGGGCTTTAAATGATTTCAGACAATGAATAAGGGTCTTATCAAGTGAAACGATCGCTCATTTAAAAAAAAAAACCTTGCTCTGATGCTCGTTCGTGACTCTCCTATTTAAACTCGTTTATCAAAATGAAGAAATCTTTTTTTCGTGTCATTTGGTTCATTCAACGAACGAAATGAATGAGCAAGGCGAGCATTTGAACTTATAAAACTTAAACTTTGTTATTTATTTTTTAAATGAGCGATCGTTTCGCTTGATAAGACCCTTATTCATCGTCTAAAGCCCTTTGAACAGTTTGCACTGAAACTCTCATTTGGACCTTGAACCGTTTGGTTCCCATTGAAGTCCATTATATGGAGAAAAATCCTGGAATGTTTTCATCAAAAACCTTAATTTCTTTTCGACTGAAGAAAGAATGACATGGACATCTTGGATGACATGGGGGTGAGTAAATTATCAGCACAAGTTTTTTTGTTTTTTTTTAAAGTGAACTACTCCTTTAACTCAATGACATTCAAACTTTTAAGTGTTTAAAACTTAAACCTGACCACCACCATAGAATATGTATTTGATGTATACACACATTTTAAAAACAAATAATAAAAAATACAGTTAAACTCATTCAAACTTTATTTTGTCATTTAAGAATACAAAGAGAAATTAGAACTTGAAATATACAGCTTTATTGAACTTCATCAACCGTTTGTTAGGATAAAATGTACTTCTAACTATGAGCAGCATAATTAAGATCTTCTTTTTCAACCATAAGCACCAATAAGTTTTACATTTTAAACTACTGCAATGTTTGGGATGTGGGTCTCCCATTAGTGCTTCCATCATCTTCAGAGCAAAGTAATTGACTGATGCAGTATCCTTGCCTTACACGTTATTTTTCTGTTTATCTTCAGAAAACTGCTCTTCCACCAATGTCAAAGTAGGGCCCCTGACCATGAGAATGCTGCGGCTGTCTATAAATATGCCTGAGGGGTAAATGCAGGGAGGATCGAGGATCCTGGCAAAGACGGAGTGAGTAGGAAGGGAAAGCGTTATAAAGGGACGGGGGAGCAGGGGTGGGGAGCGAGGGATCAAAAGGAGGGAGCAAGGAAGGGTGCAGTACCATATCTGGCAGGTAGGGGGCAGCAGAATTGAGCTGTGAGAAGGTGCCGATCTCAGTTGGAGCTACAGAAGGGTAGGCGTTTGATGAGGTGGGACATTGTGGATGGTTTGAGATTGGAAGTGGGGGATTTAATTGAGGGGTACTTGGGTGAAAGGACTGGGTGGTGATTTGAGTGGGGTTTCCAACTTGGGGGAAGGAGGGATTAGGGTATGACGGGGTAAAGGTAGATTGAATTTGGTTTGGGTTTGGGATCGCAGGGACACTATAGATGGAGTTAGACGAGGGCAGAGTCAGACTCTGAAGAGGATGTTGAGCAGAAGTTGGGAAGGAGTAAGAGGTGTGAGATGATGTTGGTGCAGGATTTTGGAGAGGGCCATGAGTAGGGTGTTTTGGCAGAGATGCTGGGAATGAGGTGACCGGGTATGCTGTGGTATGGTGCAGTGTGTTGGAAACCGACTGCATGGGGCCTTGATGGATAACATTGGTGGAAGGAAAGGAGAAGGATCCAGTGGAATAAATTGGGTTTGGAATTGCTGAAATGGTGCACAGACCTGAGGATTGGGAAACTGGAATAGAAAAAGTTGTTGGAGTTTGAGCAGATCCAGGGGTACTCATGTTGAGGTTGGGGATCTGTTGAAAAGGGGGAAATGGGAAGGCTGATGGGTTTGCCATGGAGTTAGGGGTGGGGAATGCAGTTGGGGTAATATTTGAGTCAGAAGGGGTGGGAATTTGATCAGGGTTGCACTGCGACACCGGTTCGAAGGGTAGGGCAGATTGGGGCAAACTTTGACATTGAGGGGATGTTGGATCTGGGTCATTTGAGGACTGCACTGGAGGGAAGGGAAAGGCTGTTTGGGTTGGGTTTTGGATGGCAGGAGTTGTTTCATTGGATGAGCTCAATCCACCATCGTCCACCTGATTTTGGCCAGGGTCAATAGTCAACCCAGAACCTTGACAAGAGGCGGGGATAGTTTGGAAAGGTGGATTTGTGGGTGTATGGGGACTTAGGTTGTCTTGGGATTGGTCTGTTGGAAGAATAGAGTGGTAGGAAGACGAGGAGAGAAGGTGTGGAGAGGTGGAGTGAGAGATGGGAGGGTACGAAGAGCCTGGGGGAGAGGTCGTAGAGGAATTTAGACCAGGATAGTCTGATGAAGGTAAAGAGGAATATGTGGACATAGAGGGTGTCGATGCAATTGTGGAGGGCTGGGGGAGCTCAAGGCCAGAGTTTTGTGAAGAGGACACCATGGAATAGATGGAAGGTGACTGATGCAAAGGCACTGAGGCATGTGATGAAGAGCTGAGATGAGCCGTTGGGAAAGTCGATGTGTATCCAGGAAGGTCCATCATTTGACCAGACCTGTAACAAAAAGTAGACTATCCTTAACCCTGCTCAAAAAACATTGAGAACGTGTTTGATAGACATAAGCATAGAGACTTACCCATCCATCAGTGTGTTGTTCACATTATTTTCAGGGGTTGTCTGTGGATGGCTTTCCATTGAAGAGGGAATCTCAGAGGTCAAGAATGATTGTCCAAGGACAAGTGGTTGGTCAGAGACTGTCTGATCTGTGAGGGATGGTACTTGTGTGTGGAAACCTGAGTCTGCAATTGGGAGGGTGGAGTTTATAATGGAGAGGGCGGAGCTTGGGAGTTCCACTGATTGTGGGAGGAGCTCAGTGGAATCACATGGGTCACATGACTCTGAAAGAAGGAATCAGGAAAGCAATATTTGAGAAACCAAGAAAGTATTTATTTTTTTATTTTTTTTGTGAAGAGAACAGAATAAATCTCATGGATTATTTATGTTTCAGTTGTGTCTTGGTTTTGAAAGATTTTAGATTCTGAAGTAAATACATTATTATTCTCACCAATATCCAAAGATTCCTCTTGATTGCATGTAATTTTCCTCTTCAGCCTTGCATCTCTTTGTCTGAGGAAAGCAACAGAAAAATATTACGCTCTCAGTCCAGATGTCTTAAAGGGTTAGTTCACCCCAAAATGAAAGTTCTGTCAGTATTTACTCACCCTCATGTTGTTCCAACCCCGTAAGACGTTCGTTCATCTTCGGAACACAAATTAAGATATTTAAGATATTAAAATCGCTCCTGCATACAGTCCATAGGCTTCTTGAGGGACTGGCTCTTGCTGTCCCCGAAAAGTCATTAAAGACATCGTTAAAATAGTCCAAGTGACTACAGGGGCTCAATCTTAACTTTATCAAACGACGAGAACACTTTTGTGCGCAAAAAAACAACAAAAATAACGACTTTATTTCAACTATTCACTTCCTTCTCCATGAGCCTGTAAGTCAGTTAACGTAGTGTGATTGCGTAAAGCTACGTCACACGTAGGCTCACTATTGGCCGACGCTGGTCATGTGTGTGTGATGCGTGTGACGTACAATAACAGAAGCTTACGCTATTAAACTAGTAACCTGACTCGCGCAGAGGGAGAAATAAACGAATAGTTGAAATAAAGTCGTTATTTTTGTTGTTGTTTTGCGCACAAAAGTGTTCTCGTCGTTTGATAAACTTAAGATTGAGCCCCTGTAGTCACTTGGACTATTTTAACGATGTCTTTAATGACTTTTCGAGGACAGCAAGAGCCAGTCCTATGGACTGTATGCAGGAGCGATCTTAATATCTTAAATATCTTAATTTGTGTTCCGAAGATGAACGAACGTCTTACGGGGTTGGAACAACATGAGGGTGAGTAAATACTGACAGAATTTTCATTTTGGGGTGAACTAACCCTTTAAATAAGAAATGTGGGTAATACTTTAGAATACGGTTCCTTCGTTAATGAATAACTACACAAGAACTAATGAGTAACACAATATTAACAATCTAGTAACTATTATTAACTAGCAAGAAACTCTGATTAACGAACTAGTAAGTAATAGCCCACAGACGAAAGTGTTAGTTCACTATTAACTAATCAATAACAATTTTTTTTAATACTTCCCAGAGAACTACTGAAAAAGTTTATTAACAATCTAGTAACTACTATGAACTAAAAAGAAACTCTGATTTTGAATTAATAAGTAATAGTGCGCAGATTAAAGTATTACTAGATACTTATGTGGGAATTACAAATTATTTGGATCCGTATTATAAAGTGAAGATCATTGGAACTAACTAGTAATGACTCAAATGTTACTACATGATCTAGTCATGATTTGTGCAACCAAACACTAAAGTCATCTCAAGCGTTTGAGATTTTTTATGAACTTTAGTATACTTTTAGAAAATTTCTTTAGTAAAACTTGAGTCATTACTAGTTAGTTCCCATGGTCTTCACTTTATAATACGGATCCAAACAATTAGTAATTCCCATAGAAGTATATTATCTGCGCACTATTACTTACGAGTTCGTTAATCAGAGTTTATTTTTCGTCAATAGTAGTTACTAGATTGTTAATAAACTTTTTCAGTTGTTCTCTGGAAAGCATTAAAAAATAGTAGTTCTAGATTGGTCAATAGTGAAGTACCACTTTCATCTGTGCGCTATTACTTACTTGTAGAGCCCGACCGATTTATCGGCAGACCGATATTATCGGCCGATATTAGGCATTTTCCAAACTATCGGTATCGGCAGTTATTATGGCCGATAAATGAATATTTCAAAAATAAAATAAAAACGGACGAAACACGCTTGAACCATGTCATGAGTGTTGGAGTTCTATAGTTTGTCCACCAGAGGGCACTCTACATCGTTCCTGTTGGCAACACTCGTTGAGTTGGTCACGAGACATCCATTGCTTGAATAACGATTAAAAGAACATCCCCATCTGTTCTCTTAACTCAAATAAGCATATCAAAATTTTTGACTATCATGTCCAGTTTCAAATAAATAAATAAAATATCGGCCGATATATCGGAATATCGGATTTTAAAACCCAAAAATATTTGTATCGGTATCGGCCTTTAAAATCTTTTATCGGTTGGATACTAGATTGTTAATATGGCGTTACTTATTGTTCCTAGTGTAGTTATTCATTAACAAAGGAACCGTATTCTAAAGTGTTACCGAAAGGTGTACTATTAGGGAATTATTATTTAATATTGGTGTATAATCGGTGTTTAACCTACTTCTTGCAGTTCATGCCATTCTCTCTAAAACCTTTTGCAAAAGGATTTGAGTTTATTTTCAGTTCAGTGATCTAGGAGAAAATACGAAAAAAATGTTTTTCATGAAAACAGTCAATATGTGGCTTTTTTATTGTGTTAAAATTATTTGATATTAATCGGAGAAATGTATTTTTGCTTTCACCTTGCTGTTCTGGTATGCAGTGACCGTGATAAACTGTGTTTCTGGGAAGGTGAAAGAGTGCTGGGCTCTTCCCCACATCAGCACATCACGGGCCTCGATCACATGCACTCGTGGCTGGTATCGATGTAGGGAATGGAGAATGATCTTTTGGAGAAAGAGTGTGGGAAATCACTGTTACAGTTGTGGTATAGCGGAAGTCACGATGCCCAAAACAAAACATAAATTACACTTTATAATTAGAACTTTAACATTTTAATTTGGGCACTGAAGTCACATAATATTAAACCACCAAATGGCACTTTATTAAAATGTTAAAATAGATAAGCAGTTCAATAATGAATACAGAAACATTAGAAAACTCAGCGGTTGCCAAACGTTAGTCGCACATTTAGTTTAAAAATATTAGTGAATGTCACTCAGAAAAGGGAAGTTAGATTTGAGTCAAGTCTTGCGTCATTTGTTTCCTCTCACAAACCTGGTCTGATATCTATGTTAAATATCATATTACGTTTGCATTTAGTCATTTAGCATACGCTTTTATCCAAAGCGACTTACAATGGAGTCTCAAACAAATTCAAAGTTCAGACATAAAAGCAAGTATTTAAAGGAAAAGGAAAGATTTAAAAAAAAAAAATGTTATTATGTTAAGTGCTCACAGAAGAGATGAGTTATTATTATCCATGCAATGAAATTCATTCAAGTGTTCAAATCGTTTTTGGAGCCAATGTACATTATAGAAAGTTTCAAAAGTATTGTAACAAAGTATTCTGTTGCTTACATATTGACATATTACACTTTTAACCCCTTAACTGTCACCGTCCCAGTACCGAAACGCCTAACTTTACTTCACTATATTTCTATTAAATCTTAATCTAATTATGACAAATTATATATTGTTGGAAAGGTCTAAGACTTCTAAATAAATATTCTACCCCTGTTTTGTGTTACAAATTATGTAGGAAGAGTAATTGATGAATTTATGACAAGAGTGCACCTCAAAAAATCTGCATCATAACAGGAGGTCTGACCTTTGTCACACCCACTTTTGACCTTTGTCACTTGCACCCACTTTTAATCTTTGAAACTTCTGTTTTTATGCTAAAAGTTCATAATAAAACATAATCTAGTATTTTTCATTAAAAATACAAATATATAATAATATTATCCTCTAAAAATTATAATATATTATCCTCTAAAATATAATATATTTTCTTTATCGCCTTTTTTATTATATCACATATTTTAGTAGTTATCATAAATTAGGTATCATCTGAAAGCTTATAAACTCAGAATTCATCCTGTGAACACCGTTTTATAGTTGAACATTGCGTTACCATAAAAACCGTACTTATTTTATCAGGCTCCTCCCCTTGTGGGCATCGTTATATTTCATAATTTATTATAAAAACCTTTTCTATTCTTGACAAAACACATATTGTCAGAAAGGTCTGAGTCTCAAAGTTCCAAATTTTGTGACGGAATTGATATTTGGGCAGAAATGTATTAATTTGTTAAGGCAGAATGTATACAACTAAATTCAATGGAATTCAATGGCACCCGGTGGCTATTTTTGGTACTACGCCTAAACAACATCTCATGGGAACTTCAATTTTTGTGATATCAACTTCAAATTTGGAACATAACTTGGTTAGATTTATGGCTTTGATTTTATAGTAATTTTAGAGTAAAAATATTTTGTAAAATATATATTTTATATAAAATATATAATACAGTATATTTGATTTACTGTGAATTTAAACTTCCATAACTTTTTCATACTTTCATTTTTTTAAGTGTTTTCACTTCAGCAATAATCTGCTGAGTGTTTCCTTTAAAACAAGACCAAATTTGGGTATATATTCCTAAGCATTCTTGAATTACAACCATTTAAGTGTGAATAGTGCATTTTAAACCCCATTCTGAAAAAGGGGGGTGACAGTTAAGGGGTTAAACCAAAATTTTAAATAGTAGTATAATAGAATCGATAACTTTATAGGTAATTTTAAAACGGTGGCTTTTTACTCACATATCCTTGTGCGTCCAGAGTGTTATTGGTGAGTTTGGCCCGGTGGAAGGAGATGCTTCGATTCTGCCAGTGTTCTCCAGTCGCGGGAGAGTCGGGGTGGATGAAGACGCGGTCTGGCAGCCGAGCCTCAGCGCCGCCAACCACCTGCCAGCTGTTGTCTTGGAAACGATAGCGAGAGGAATCAACAGGCACGATGTCTAAAAGAAGAATGTAACGCAGAGTTGGGTTCAGCCCTGACAGCTTCATTCGCAGCTGTGGAAACATTCTCCTGAGGAACAGAGGATGAGAAAGGTTATGGCATTTTACCAAACTGATCAAATGTGTCATAGTGTTTGCTGGTGGATATACTCAAAATGTGCTCACCTGCCCTTCTTAGTTACAATCATCTCAGTGCCAACTGTGCTGAACTGCTTCCACAGGGACGCGTTCTCCAGCTCCATTTTGACCTTATCCTGTGGCGTCCCAGGAGTGTCCGCAGTGGCAGGAGGGGGCAGCAGTCGAGCGGGAAGCCCACGGGCCGCCATGTCGCATGAGGTGGGATACAACGGCACATGTGCTGCGGGTTCACGATCTATAGGAGAGATGGGGGGTGATATCTGTATCTTAGAATTTAACTTTTAATATTCTTTATAGTGGAAAAGGGTTCTTTAGATTATTAAAGGAGCTGATAATTGACTCACCCCCATGTCATCCAAGATGTCCATGTCTTTCTTTCTTCAGTCGAAAAGAAATTAAGGTTTTTGATGAAATCATTCCAGGATTTTTCTCCATATAATGGACGTCAATGGGAACCAAACGGTTCAAGGTCCAAATGAGTGTTTCAGTGCAGCTTCAAAAGGCTTTAAACGACACCAGGCGAAGAATACGGGTCTTATCAAGCAAAACGATCGCTCATTTAAAAAAATAAATAACAGAGTTTAAGTTTTATAAGCTCAAATGGTTGCCTTACTCTGTTCTGTGATGCGCGTTCGTGACTCTCCTGTTCGAACTCGTTCATCAAAAAGAACAAATCTTTTTCGTGTCATTTGGTTCATTCAACGAACGCGCACCATTTGAGCTTATAAAACTTAAACTTTGTTGTTGTTTTTTTTAAATGAGCGATCGTTTCGCTTGATAAGACTCTTATTCGTCGTCTGGAATCGTTTAAAGCCCTTTGAACAGTTCGCAGTTTGCACTGAAACTGTCTTTTGGACCTTGACCCGTTTGGTTCCCATTGAAGTCCATTATATGGAGAAAAATCCTGGAATGTTTTCATCAAAAACCTTAATTTTTTTTCGACTGACGAAAGAAAGAAATGGACATCTTGGATGACATTGGGGTGACTAAATTATCAGCAAAAGTGTTTTTAAAAGTGAACTACTCCTTTAATTCCTGCCCTTTTGTTTTTAAATGTCTAACTAATCCTCTCAAAACAACTCATTACTGCACTCTAAAAATTGCTGGGTTGTTTTAACCCAACTTTGGGTAAAATATGGACAAACCCAGCCATTGGGTTACATTTTTTAATTAAATTTTTAACCCAATGTTTGGGTTTGTCCATATTTGACCCAAAGTTGGGTTAAAACAACCCAGCATTTTTAGAGTGTGATTTTTCTGGAGCTCAACCTTTCTAATATATAGACTGTCGACACACTCTCAACAGGTATACTTAATTCTTTCTTGAAATGTCCACACATTTTAATTTCCATATTGAAGATATTGAAGTGAACTAAATGTTATTTAAGAAACTGTTTTGGGGTTCCATTGCCTATTTTGGAACCTGTGTTAAATGTCAAGACACATGTTAAATAATGACTTGATGAGTGTTTTATCATTGAAACATACTGGAAATTTCTTAAAAGTTTTCGAATGCACTGCGTATCTCTACCCAGACAGTACCATAGTGTGGTACCCGTGGAATCCAGATGTGGCCCGGATCTGGGCCGACACTATGTTGCTGTCTGGGAATTTAACTAGAAGTCATATTTTCACAGACAGGGTTTAGATTAAGCCAGGCTCAGGCCTTAGTGCAATTAGGACATTTATAGCTTTTATAAACGTGCCTTAGAAATAAACGTCAGTATATTTTAGGCTTAAGCCTTGTCTGTGAAACCGGGGCTAAATATTTGAGACTTAATTATTCTAAACACCAAAAATAAAACATTTTTATTGGCATCTTTGGTTCCACGTAGAAATTTTATATTTCTTACACTAAGAAGAAATGTCTCTTAACAGTTCTTCTATGGCATCGCTGTTAAAACCCATTCTGGAAGGATTGTTGTGCTGTTATCAACTCACTTTCTTCCATTAAATCTCTGCAAACCCTCACTAATTTAAATGCATGCACATTTCTGCTTTCTTCAAGATCTGAACTCTCTCTTACCTCTATAATAGCAGTCGCTCAGTCTCTGAGGTCCCAGGGCCAAACTCGGGTACATTTCCACACCCAGCATGTTTCTAGACGTCCTTTTGTCCTTGCTTCACTCTTCAGTTTATCAGTTTATCAAATCAACACCTCGCTCAGTGAGCTTTCATAATGCAGAAATACTGTTTCAAAGTCTTCTGCTGTCTTGGTTCGAGCCGCCGATGACTTTTCCTTTCTGTGTCTTCTCTTCTAATGCCGTGCGTTTGTCTCCTCGTGTATTATATAGGTGAGCACACCTTCACACATTTACCAAATGGTGGTGAGGTTTTCACACTTCATCCCACTTCTGTTTCTTCAGGGTCCATCTTTTGGGCCCAGCACTTCTGGTCTTAACACAATGGCTAAATAAACACTATCAAACCTAAAACATCAACGTCTTCAGCATTCAAAGTTTCTAGACATCGAGTTGTGTCTGATTTGACTGGGATCTGTGGTTCTGCATCACGTTGTACTGGCGCGCAGCAAAGAAAAGTCATAAATGATATTTCTAGTTCTGCTAAAGAGATTAAATGTAGATGATCGTTGAAGTCTTGCAATGCTTAGATTGTGCTCTCAGAGAACGACGAATCGTCTCTTGATGTATTCGAACGGCACTTTTTTCCAAAATTGCTTGTAAAAATATGAGCTATAACAGAGATAGTGCAGTATGATTAAAAACAATAGTAGAGATTTGTATTCACTTTATAGTAAATTTGTTTCAATTAATTCAGATTAGTTGTCATGCTGCTACGAATGTAAATTGTTTGTTTATTAATCTAGGTTAATGTTAATTTATGATAGACTGTTGTCTCTTTAAATGTATGTAAACTAATGTTAATTTATACACTGTAAAAATTAATATGCTTTATCTAATCAATAAAATTGTGGCAACAGATTACAAGCGATATTATTAATTGAATTTAACAAATTAGAATTGAGTAAAAATTAATTCCTTAATAGTTAACCATTTAAAATGAGTAAAGTTTACACTGTAAAAATTATTACACTTTATCTAATCAATAAAATTGTGGCAACAGATTACAAGCGATATTATTAATTAAATTGAACAAATTAGAATTGAGTAATAATTAATCCAATTAATTCCTTAAAAGTTAACCATTTAAAATGAGTAAAGTTTACACCCAAATATTTAACAAAAATATCTGAATAACAGACAGACGTCAAAGATTAATTAAGAACTGTTTATATTTTATTCCAACATTGAAGACACTTGATGTTAACAAGCAGAATCACTGAAGGACGAAACCGTCATTTTAAAACAAACACTGATCACCATAATGGTGACTTAAATGTACGTTTATGTTGTTTGTTGTTGTAAGTTTTACTTATTTTAAATTGTTAACTTTTAAGGTATTAATTTGATTAATTATTACTCAATTCTAATTTGTTAAATTTAATTAATAATATTGCTTGTAATCTGTTGCCACAATTTTTTTGATTAGATAATGCGTATTCGTTTTTATTTATGTGAGTGAGATGCTCACAACAGAATTTGGTCTTTCTTGAAGAACTAAGACTTTTAACTGCTGACTGAGCTGATTTTCTCCCACAATGAAAGAGGAAGATCAAAATGAAAATGAATACCAAAACGTAATGTTTGATATATGATGTAATGGCACAACCATATGGACTGTCTACCACTACCGCTATCCATATATGGGTTTAACATTGACCGGATGAGGAGTACTGGGTTTATTGTTATGTTATACGAATAGGATCTGATGTCCAGTTTAAGGTTGGCCTTTGACCTCAGCTCAGTTGGTGTTGGTGAGGGGTGGGTTGCAGGTGGAGGCGTACGACACAGTTTGGTCTTCCTGCTACAGTTTGGTCTCTAAAGTAAACACTCGGGGTTCAGACACTTCATCCAAATGTCTTTTAAAAAGAAACAACTGCTTTGGATGACACTCTTTAAAGAAAACATTTTCACTAAACTGCCACTTTTAAAAGATGTAGTTCTTTACACATAATAATAGTTTTATTTAAAACCATTTCATCCTGAAGAAATGTTTTTGTGTTGAGTTTACGATTCTTAAAGGAGTAGTTCACTTTTGGAAAAAGCTTTTGCTACTCACCCCCATGTCATCCAAGATGTCCATGAAAAAAAGAGAAATTAAGGTTTTTGATGAAAACATTCCAGGATTTTCTCCATATAATGGACTTCAATGGGAACCAAACAGTTCAAGGTCCAGTGGAAACTGTTCAAAGGGCTTTAAACGATTCCAGTCGATGAAGGGTCTTATCAAGCAAAACGATCGCTCATTTAAATATATATATATATATATAATAAGTTTTATAAGCACAATTGCTCGCCTTGCTCTGTACTGTGATGCGCGTTCATGACTCTCCTGTTCGAACTCGTTCATCAAAATGAACAAATCTTTTTTCATGTCATTTGGTTCATTCAATGAACGAGTTGACTCAGGAAAAGATTTGTTAATTTTAATGAACGAGTTCGAAACAGGAGAGTCACGAACGCACATCACAGAACAGAGCAAGGCGAGCATTTGTGCTTATAAACCTTAAAATATATATATTTTTTTAAATGATCGATCGTTTTGCTCGATAAGACTCTTATTCGTCGTCTGGAATCGTTTAAAGCCCTTTGAACAGTTCGCAGTTTGCACTGAAACTGTCTTTTGGACCTTGAACCGTTTGGTTCCCATTGAAGTCCATTATATGGAGAAAAATCCTGGAATGTTTTCATCAAAAACCTTAATTTCTTTTCGACTGAAGAAAGAAAGACATGGACATCTTGGATGACATGGGGGTGAGTAAATTATCAGCAAAATTGTTTTTAAAAGTGAACTACTCCTTTAATTCCCGCCTTTTTGTTTTTCAATTTCTAACTAATCCTCTCAAAACAACTCATTACTGCACTCTAAAAATTGCTGGGTTGTTTTAACCCAACTTTGGGTCAAATATGGACAAACCCAGCCATTGGGTTACATTTTTTAATTACATTTTTAACCCAACGTTTGGGTTTGTCCATATTTGACCCAAAGTTGGGTTAAAACAACCCACTATTTTTAGAGTGTGATTTTTCTGGAGCTCAACCTTTCTAATATACAGACTGTCGACACACTCTCAACAGGTATTCTTTCTTTCTTTTCAATTCTTTCTTGAAATGTCCACACATTTTAATTTCCATATTGAAGGTTTGGTTTCAAGCTTTCAAATTTGGTCTTTTTTTTTTAATTTGAACAGAACGTGGGCAGCTCTGTTAAGATGAGGATATACTTCTCTCCACTAAGCACGTAAATGACCAGAGATACTGAATTTAATAGAATTTAATTTGAACAAAATTTAATTGAATTTAAATAACCCTAAAAATAAAGGTTTGTTAATGGATTCAATGGTTCTATGAAGAATGTTTAATAATTGAATTGTACGAAAGGTTCTTTACATTATTAAAATGTTCTTCACATTAAGAAAAAAAAAACTAAAAAGTTCTTTGGGGAACCCAAAATTGCATCCCTGTGGAAAACCCCCTTATTTTTATTTTTTTTACGAGTGTACTGAATATTCTCAATAGTTCTGCTATTGGTACAAGCCAAAGAACCCTAATCTGGTGATCTTTAGATCCATGTATGGTAAAAAGGCATATTCTGAGTCTTAATATCTACACAGCCAGTCCTAAACTCTGCCGGATCCGGGTCAGACTGCCTCAGCTTAACTTCACCTTAACGTTGTTGTTGTAGTTGTTGTTTTTGTTGTCCGTTCGCAGGCACGTGATAAAGCAGGGCTGTGAGAGCGAGGGGAAGTGGAGGTGTGTGTGTCTCAGAGGGGGGTGGATGTCATTACGGTCCACAGTGTGTGTCCGTTTCAGAGTTTACAGGGACTGTAAGGCCTAATGGCAGCTAATGTGTTTATGAGTGCCCAGGTGTGTGTCTTTAAGCAACAGTAGCACAACCAGACTCGCCGTAACGAGGCCGTTTGAGTGTCAGGATAGTGAGTTGGACCATCGGCTAACCGCGTTATTAAAAAGCTTCTGTGCCTGTTAATTCCAACAATAGATTTCAGGAGGTCAATTTGACATCAATATGCAGCTTCACAATTCATATAAATACTGTAAGTTCACTTATAATTGTAAATATCTTGTTAATCGTGCGTTGTTCAAGTCCCTTAGTCTAACTTCAAACTCACAAACTCTTTTCATTGTGTTAATTTGTTAAAAATTCAGTGTTTATGAAAATATTTGAAATGTGACGGACTGACAAATATGAGCAATAAAGGGTTGAAACAGGCCAGTGTTGATTATGGTAAGTAACGTTTGACTTGTACTGTTCATACAACGAGAGAATGCACTAGTATTAAGTTGATTATAATCAATTACTGGTGGAGATTATGTTGAAATTACACTGTAAAAACGTTTGTTCATTTAAAAAAAATGGGTAACATATGTTACATGTACTTACAGTGAGTTATGCATAATTACATGCAACTAACCCTAAACCAAACCCTAATCCTCCTAATAGTAAGTACATGTTGTTAATAAATATTACTCAATTACACTTTAACAATGGCACCTGGCAAATAAAGTGTAACCAAAAACTGTTAAACGGTAAACTGTTTCCAAGATGGTATTACAGCGAAATTCGAATTTCAGCGAATTTCTTTGTTTTTAAGAGTGAATGATTTGTTGCACTCTAAACAATGCTGGGTTGTTTGAACCCAGATTTGGGTCAAATATGGACAAACCCAAATTTTGGGTTAAAAATGTAATTTCAAATTTTAACCCAACTTCAACTTTCACTTTCTTTTTCATTACATTTTTTAACCCAACATTTGGGTTTGTCCATATCTGACCCAAATTTGGGTTGAAACAACCCAGCCTTTTTTAGAGTGTACTTTGAACTAAAGTGCTTTATGTTCAAATATGAATAATATTTGCCTAACTAACTAAAACTAACTGAGTTTTGATGAAAATGTTTGAAGTGATGTTCTTGTTTTGAACTTACTGTAGAATGAGGGAAGTAGGACATAGTATTAACTGGATTTATAATTTTTAAAAATTACACTGTAAAAAAAACTATAAATTAGCTACAGTTAAAAAAATGTAGAAATGCAGTAAAAACCTGTTACTCTATACAGTCACAACTGGTTAAACGTCACATGATATATTGTTTTACTCTAAAATAATGTACTTTTTTAAGAAAAAACTATGAACATATAATTTACAGAGAAAAACATTAAAAACTAGGCGATTAATCAACCCTATCTCACGAGAATTTTACGAGGTGGCTAATTCGTAACAATTCGTACGAATTAGTACGTTTTTGCTAAATCGTACATATTTTACGAATTGACCAATTCGTATGAATTCGTACGAATGACCAAACCCCTGACCCCGCCCCTAAAGCTACCCATCACGTGGGTTTGGACAAATCGTACGAATTCACACGAGTGAGGTCGCATGAATTAGTACGAATTAGACACTTTTTAATCACGAATTCGCACGAATTGATCGTGAGATAGCGTAGGATTAATCGCATCCAAAATAAAAGTTTTTGTTGACATAATATACAGTATGTGTATGTAGTAGTGTGTAATAATTATTGTGTGTATAATTATTTTGTATATATAAATACACACCTATGCATGTATATATTTAGGGAAAATTTGTTTTTTATATTTATGTATAATATTAATTTTGTATAAATATATATACAGTATATACATGCAAATATTTATATATGCGTGTGTGTGTGTGTATATATATATATATACACAAAATAATTATACACACTACACACACATATATTATGTAAACACAAACTTTTATTTTGGATGTGATTAATCACGATTTAATCGTTTCACAGCCCTATTAAAAACACATCTCCAGAAGTCCCCGCATGACACATATGATTACATTTATGTTTTTTTAACCGATTGCCGGGTATTTACCGTACATTTAACAGATTATCGAGCTGAAATCTATAATATCTGGTCATTTTGAACTTGTAACGTCTTTAATCCCAACACAATGAAACGCATGTCGCTTTTGTGATTTCATGTAAACTCATCAGTCTGAGTTTTCTTAGCGTAGTTGTTCAGTGATTACATCATCTGTCCAGGTTTGATTTTACACATGATACTGGGACATTTCATAAACTTCATTTACTTAACTATGCCTAAAGCTTCAATGCTCATTTACAAAACATCATTTGTACGGTCCAACACATCACCCAATTAAAAGATAGTCAATATGCTCAGTTCATACACTGTAAAAAAAAGTAAGTAACCTGGTTGCCTTAAAATTTTAATTTCATTGAACTGGAAAAAGTGAGTTAATACAATGAAGGAGAATGATTTAATCATCAGAAACTCAAAAATGATATGTTATCTGAACTAAATAAATTATTTCAGTTGATTTGACAAAAGAAAATATGTTGTGATTACTCACTGTAAAAAAATATTGTTGGTTTAACTTAAAAACGTAAGTAACCTGGGCTGCCTTTCTAAGTTGATTGAACTGGAAAAAGTGAGTTAATACAATGAAGGAGATTAATTTAATAATCAGAAACTCAAAATAAATAATTTATTATAAAGTTGATTTGACAAAAGAAAATATGTTGTGATAACAAATCTTGAAAATATTTTTTTACAGTGTATTTCATATTAAACAAAGGCTGATTTTAGATATCCAAGCAATTATGTTGAACACATCAAATTCTTAAAAGAGCTTGCATCCCTTGTGCTTAATTGTTGAATGTACACTTTAAGCACTTTCATAATGACAGTTCCTCCTTTAATGCCAAAGTAAAACTTAAAGTAGGCTACATTGAAATCGTCATGTTTAAATATCTTTTGTCGTACTTTAAAGTACAATTATTTTGAAGTGTTGACTAAAATATGAAGAGTACTTGCTTTCAATTTCAACTGTAATTTGTGATTAAAACAATATTTAAATATTTGTATTGGAATTTAAAATATATTAACTTTAATTGTAATATCAAATACACTACAGTGACAATTATAATCAATAACTTACATGTGCTTTAGCATGTTAGTTAAAGACAGATTTGTCTTTGAAATGTGGTTAATGTACTATTAATATTAAATGTAGATTTGAGCAACACAAATTATACACTTAGACAGTTGATATATGGAATTTAAAACAATCATGTACTCATTTAATATCATTTTAAACTATAATACATTTTAATTTAATTACAAATAACTTGCAATTAAGTGTTTCCGACTGAAATATGCTTTCAAAAGTTATTTTTCACAAGGGACAGGCCAAAACTGAACATTACGACACGGGGAATTTTCTAGCCATCATGACATAAACAAAAATGTGATGAGGTTTTGCGTGTCTTCATGTTTCTCATGAAGTTCTTAGAAAATGTCTGTCATGTGTCACTCCAACAGCCCTGTATTACTAAGCAGAAGTGTGTTTGTCAAGTCAGAAGGTTCAATTCATGTGGCGTCTTTAAAACTATCAGAAACTCTGGCCACAAAAACCACTACGGTTCAGATAAGGGATAAAATATGCGCCTTTTAAGGGGATCACACAAAAGGATTTCAATCTCAAAGTTTCACAATCTCAACGGAAGTATAAGATGTGAGATTTGATTTCGTAGTTCTCGGTTAAACCGCATTTCTTTCATTTTTTGAGTAATCCGTGCTTTATGATATCAGCATTGAACTTGACCACACACCCAATGCTCATGCATGATCACGTGTTCAGAGACAGAACGAGTGCTATAAAACACAGAGCAAGCAAGCGTGAGCCTCAATAAAACAGGTGGAAGACTTTAATATCTGCTTTAGATACTCAAACTTCATAATATCCGCTTCTGAGAGTCAAAGTGCAGTTCTAGTGAGGCATTGGCTGTAGTTTGAGAATGGACGCGCTGTGTTTGATTCTTCTCTTCTGCTTGGCTGTCGCAGTGTATGTTGTGTGTTCTCTGTACCTGCTACACAACCCGTGTATCCTTCATAAGAGGAAAAGGCTGGACTTCCACTGCAGACACATCTCACACAGAGGAGGCAAGTGGAGTTTCTTTCTTCTCAATTTAAGTTTAATTGATTATAAATTTTTGGTTCACTTTGAAATTATTTTGGTATGTTTTAGCTTACCCCAAGATGTGGGTGTCTTTGTTTCCGCAGTATTTTCAATTTTGATATTTTTAGGTCAAACCGTTCTTGTCTGTCAGTCATATAATGGAGGTCTATGGTCACCACCTCAAAGAGCATGCACAGAGAAGTCCAGATTAAACATGATTTAATGACTCGTAAATGTAAGTACACATTGATGGCCTAACGAGCGGTTTGTGTGAGAAAACGAATCGCGGGCGATAAAAGCGATATAAATACTGTTCGTTTTCTCACACAAACCGCTCATTTCGTGTCTTAGGCCATCAATGTGTACTCGCATTTACGAGTCATTAAATCATGTTTAATTTGGACTTCTCTGTGCATGCTCTTTGAGGTGGTGACCATAGACCTCCATTATATGACTGACAGACAAGAAATATCAAAATTTAAAATACTGCGGAAACAATCTTGGATGCTCTTGAGGTAAGCTAAAACATATTAAAAATTAATTTCAAAGTGAACTATCCCTTTAACCTGTGTGTTGTTACAATGATGTGTGCCATCGTTATGTTTCGAGTCAAATTGACCCTAATTGGATTCAATTCACCATGTATTAACTAACATGAACTAATCATGAGCAATACATTTGTTAGATTATTTGGTCATCTTTTTTTGAAGTTTGTTATAAAAATACAGCTGTTCATTGTTTGTTCATGTTAGTTCACCGTTCATTAAAATCAACTTTTGATTTTAATGAAGTATTAGTAAATGTTGAAATGAAGTGCAGTTCATTAATAGTTGATGTTAACTATTGAAACCTTATTGTAAAGTGTAAAACAAACAAACAAAAAACATAAACCTTTACACATTTAAAATAAACGATGTGAACATGATTTTTAAAACAATATTTAACTATTTCCTAAAAGTAAATAGTATGTTAAAATTCAATGTGTTTAAAATATTATTTTTTTTAAAGGAGCTGTATGCAAGAAATGTATTTCAATTAATCGCACATTTTCCCTGATATGTCTCTAGACATTAAGAAATTATGTTCATTTCTACAGTAATTTGAATGTGATTGCAGTACCAGTTTTGGCCACAATCTTACATATGGCTCCTTTAAATTTAGATTTTTTTGTGCGTGTGTGTGTGTGTTTTGCTGAAGCTCAAACAGTATAGCATGGCGTTAGCAATGCCAAGATCATGGGTTCAAATTCTGATACAAATGTAGGCCTTCAATGCAGTGTACAATTCTTCAAATAAAAGCGTCTACCAAATGCATAAATGCAAAAGAGAGTAACTCAGAAATGTGTTCGGGTCAAATTGACCCAGAACGTAATACAAGTGTGATTCGTTTAACACTAATTACCGACATAAACTGATGCTTTTTGCCTATAGGGTCTGGAGAGAAGATAGAAAACACAATGGAAGCATTTACACAGTGAGTTTCTCTCTGGCAATGTCTACTTTTTTCTGTTCCTTCCTCCTTTTCTCCACTTTAACCATGTTTTGATCATGTGATAGTGCTGTGGCCGCGTGCACGGAGATGCTGGAGATGGACTGTCACCTTACACTGGATGGCTGTGTTGTGGTTTCACATGATAAAAACCTTTTGAGGCAAACAGGATGTGACAAAACAATATCGTCTCTTAGATTCCAGGTTGTCATTTGACCATTAAAGGGATACTCCACTTTTTTTGGAAATAGGCTCATTTTACCTTTCCCCCAGAGTTAAACTGTGTATTTGTACCATTTTCGGATGTATTCAGCCGATTTTTTTGATATTTAGAAGAATATCAGTAACCAGACAGTTTCTCGTCTCATTGACTTCCATAGTATATTTTTTTCAATGAGACCAGAAACTGTCTGGTAACTGATATTCTTCTACCCTAAATATCAAAAAATGGTCTGAATGGATTTGAAAACGGTAAAACTCGACTGTTTAACTCTGGGGGAGTGGTAAAATGAGCCTATTTCCAAAAAAAGTGGAGTGTCCCTTTAAACTTACTCTTTTTTTTCTCCCTATGGGATTTTTAACCCTACTTTGTATCTTACAGGATTTGCCTCACTATAAAGAGCGACTCGAGGTCACATTTTATGTTGGTAAGTCGATTATTGTACGATTCTACACGGTCCACTTGAACAATATGAAGTGCTTTACCGTAATAAATACTATGTGGAATCTGTAATACACTAGGACACTACAGTACAGGGAAAGACAGAGAGTTTGTGTTGCTGGAAGACGTTTTCAAGAAATTTCCCAACATGCCAATGATGATTGAGATCAAAGAAAACAACGACTTGCTCATTAAAAAGGTGAGATGGATTTCTGCAATATTCAGTGTCTAATTGCAGATAAAGCATGTTTATACTGTAGATCCATCACAAATAAATGACTTGTATTTTTAATGATTTGTTGAAACGTTCTCTCAAACTCACAAGTTGAAATACACACCACAAGAAGTGTAGTCGGAAATCACATTAATTACTCTCTAGATTGGGTTTTGATTTTGAATAAATAGTTCATTCGAGACCACTAAAAAGGGACATTCTATATAGTCAAGTCACCTTTAATTATACACTCACCTAAAAGATTTTAAGGCAGTTGCTTCAATGCATTTATGGCTGTGGTCCTGGTCAAGACAATCTCCTGAACTCCAAACTGAATGTCAGAATGGGAAAGAAAGGTGATTTAAGCCATTTTGAGCGTGGCATGGTCTGAGTATTTCACAATCTGCTCAGTTACTGGGATTTTCACACACAACCATTTCTAGGGTTTACAAAGAATGGTGTGACAAGGGGAAAACGTCCAGTATGCGGCAGTCCTGTGGGCGAAAATGCCTTGTTGATGCGAGAGGTCAGAGGAGAATGGGCCGACTGATTCAAGCTGATAGAAGAGCAACTTTGACTGAAATAACCACTCGTTACAACCGAGGTATGCAGTGAAGACACAACACACACAACCTTGAGGCGGATGGGCTACAACAGCAGAAGACCCCACCGGGTACCACTCATCTCCACTACAAATAGGAAAAAGAGGCGACAATTTGCAAGAGCTCACCAAAATTGGACAGTTGAAGACTGGAAAAATGTCGCCTGGTCTGATGAGTCTCGATTTCAGATGGTAGAGTCAGAATTTGGCGTAAACAGAATGAGAACATGATCCATCATGCCTTGTTCCCACTGTGCAGGCTGGTGGTGGTGGTGTAATGTGTGCGGGATGTTTTCTTGGCACACTTTAGACCCCTTAGTGCCAATTGGGCATCGTTTAAATGCCACGGCCTACCTGAGCATTGTTTCTGACCATGTCCATCCCTTTATGGCCACCATGTCCCCATCCTCTGATGGCTACTTCCAGCAGGATAATGCACCATGTCACAAAGCTCGAATTGTTTCTTGAACATGACAATGAGTTGACTGTACTAAAATGGCCCCCACAGTCACCAGATCTCAACCCAATAGAGCATCTTTGGGATGTGGTGGAATGAATGGATGTGCATCCCACAAATCTCCATCAACTGCAAGATGCTATCCTATCAATATGGGCCAACATTTCGAAAGAATGCTTTCAGCACCTTGTTGAATCAATGCCACGTAGAATTAAGGCAGTTCTGAAGGCGAATTATTATCACTACCATTCTCAAAGCCTCATGGGATAGTAAAGTGCCCATCGTATGCACAAAGAATCATGTGAGAAGCTGGATATTTTAATGAAGCATTCAAAAAGGCTTTGAAACTCACGAGTGTCTGAGTAATCAGTGATGAATCTTTTACTGAATCAACTTCTTTCAGTGATATTAATTTGCATTGATTTATTTAGTTCTTCTTCTAGTCTAAATCAAAATTGACCGAATAAAATTCATAATAACTTGGGATCCCTTTTATGTGACTGTAGGTCTCTTGTCTTGTGAAGCAGTATGGCAGAGAACGTATTACAGTTTGGGGTTCTGAGGAGTCTGAGATCATGTCTAAATGTCAGAAGCAGGTACAGTAATGTGTCCAGTAACCAGAGATGTCTTCATCCAAACCTACAAACATTTTATAAAAGATCTTTGACTTATCGTTTTCTGTGTGTGTATGCAGAACCCATCCATACCCTATTTGTTCAGTATGAAGCGAGGAATACTGCTTTTATTGCTCTTTTACACTGGGCTCCTTCCCTTCGTGCCTCTGGGTGAAAGTGTCCTGCTGTTCTACCTGCCCAGGGTCATCAACAGGTCAGTCTATAACCTCGCTTTAAAAGTAATTTCATAACTCTCTACGTTTTTTAAAAGTGAAGTTTGAAGTGAAATCTTTTACAGGAAAGCATACATTAATTAACATTCACTAAAGCATTTATTTATGTCCATGTGTAGCATTTACCGATGCAATAATAATATCAAAATTGTATCTATTAATAATATTTAACACTTTCCCTGCCGACGTTTACAACTACTAAGATCACACAATTCCGACTTTATAACTTGCGAGTTTATCACTCAAGTCTGAGAACAAAAATCAGAACTGGGTGATAAAAAAAATTACCTCGCGATTACCTTTTTTATTTAGTTGTCTATTAATAAATCACATAAAATTAAGAGTTAACAGACCCGAGCTACATCTAAAACATTTATTAATCTTAAAGAGATTCATTATAAGCATAATTCAATACCCAAAATTATTGATAAAAATGAAGCCTACTCTTGGTACTACTTTACAATAAGGTTCCATTTGTAAATGCAAGTTAACAATATTAGTTTATTGTAAAGTTTGCATTTTCCCATACATTGCATTTGACTAATACTAATGCAGCAGTTTGTGATCACTCAGGACTTATATTCCAGAGGAATCCTATCTGAAGAACAGATTTGTTGTGTATCTTCTTCAGAAGTAAGTGACGTTCATCTGACATAGACGAGTCAAACGGCTTTTCACTCAGTCGTGTGATGTGTGACTGTGTTTATCGATGCTTTGCTTAGGTTGACCATGCGGAAATCATTGTTTGACCACTTGATCAAGAGGGGCTTGCAGGTGAATATGTGGCTTTTCTCAGTTGTGTAAACCTAAAAACAGTTCTATCCCAAAGCAAAATCATTCATTTCATCTGATTTTGGTATCTCAGGTGCAGCTGTTTGTGTGCAATGAGGAGAGCGATATAGAAGCTGCATTTGCAGCCGGAGCCACAGGCGTATTGACAGACTACCCGACCCTCCTATCAAACTACCTCAAAAAACACCCTCTACCTCCTGCTTGTTATTAGTTACATAATGAAATGTACCTTTGAATAAGAATTTTATCCAACTTCTTCCTGCACTCCATGAAGCTTTGCATGAATTATGGGATTAAAGCACTTTCTGTCATTTACAAATTGTATTTATTTTCTATAGAAACATTCCAGAAAACACTACTGATATAGTTTGGGAAAACTCAGACAACTTCCGGCAAATTTAGATTTGCTCTGAAAGTTAGACTGGCAAAGAGCTCATTCAAGGAGATGGTCCTCACTGCAGAACACGATATCCAGGGGGAGGAGTTGGATCCAGATCCAACTCCTCCCACCTTACATATACCTAATCCTACCCATCTCCACCCCCTGATCCCTAACCCACCCCTAATCCTACCCATCTCCACCCCCTGATCCCTAATCCTACCCATCTCCGCCCCCTGATTTCTAACCCCACCCCTAATCCTACCCATCTCCGCCCCCTGATTTCTAACCCCACCCCTAATCCTACCCATCTCCACCTCCTAATCCCTAACTCCACCCCTAATCCTACTCATCTCCACCCCCTGATCTCTAACTCCACCCCTAATCCTACTCATCTCCGCCCCCTGATGTCTAACCACACTCCTAAACCTACCCATCTCTGCCCCCTGATCCCTAACCCCTCCCCTAATCATACCCATCTCCACCCCCTGATCTCTAACTCCACCCCTAATCACACCCATCTCCACCCCCTGATCCCTAACCCCACCCCTAATCCTACCCATCTCCACCCCCTGATCCCTAACTCCACCCCTAATCCTACTCATCTCCACCCCCTGATCTCTAACTCCACCCCTAATCCTACTCATCTCCGCCCCCTGATGTCTAACCACACCCCTAAACCTACCCATCTCTGCCCCCTGATCCCTAACCCCTCCCCTAATCATACCCATCTCCACCCCTGATCCCTAACCCCACCCCTAATCACACCCATCTCCACCCCCTGATCTCTAACTCCACCCCTAATCCTACCCATCTCCACCCCCTGATCCCTAACCCCACCCCTAATCCTACCCATCTCCACCCCCTGATCCCTAACCCCACCCCTAATCATACCCATCTCCACCCCCTGATCTCTAACTCCACCCCTAATCCTACCCATCTACACCCCCTGATCCCTAACCCCACCCCTAATCCTACCCATCTCCACCCCCTGATCCCTAACCCCACCCCTAATCATACCCATCTCCACCCCCTGATCTCTAACTCCACCCCTAATCCTACCCATCTCCACCCCCTGATCCCTAACCCCACCCCTAATCATACCCATCTCCACCCCCTGATCTCTAACTCCACCCCTAATCCTACCCATCTACACCCCCTGATCCCTAACCCCACCCCTAATCCTACCTATCTCCGCCCCTGAATTTAAAAAAAAATTGTGTTCTAGGGGGTACGCATATGATGCAACGTTAATAATCATGATTGAGTTTTTTTTCCACAAACATTCCTTAAAGCCTGATGTATTTTATTCAATACATTTTATTGATTTTTCTAAAAATGATGTTAGGATAATCCATCAAACCTAAGCTGCTTCTTTCCAGCAAGAGTTTATCTTGAAATATTACTAACAATGTAAACATTATTCTTAGGTTTACTTATAAAACTCATTTAAGATTCCACAGCAAAGACACATGAACGATGATCTGAAGGCCTTTTACTTACTAAAAACGCATGAACTGTCACTCAGACGACAGAAAGCATGTAGTACTCTGTGCAATAGGTTCATCAGCAAAAAACAGAAGCAATAGAAATGTAGGCTGGATAGGACAGTTTATTTTGCTTGTTTATAGGACAACGTTACATTTGCATTTACAAACTAAAGGTCAGACACTGAATATTCCATGTGATATCCATATATACAGTCCAATATGACTAAATGGCTGTGTGATTGGTTGAGATCAGATCACCTGTAGCGGATCTCGGTCTCTTTGAGAAACCGTTACGGTAACGGTGTCGCCCAGTCGTGCAGCCAGTCTGTCCCTGAATACGGTCAGGAAGCCTCTCTCGCTGTTGCTATGCTCGCTGAGAATCACACTCGTGCCTTTAGAAACCGCATCTAGAACCTCATGATGGGACATCTCACCTGAACATGTGAGAAATAAGCACATTTTTTGTACTGTTATTATTTGTACTTCAATAAATTGATGAACATCAGCTTTTGTTTGTTTCTGTGCCGTGTGTGACGTACCAGTGATGTAGAGGTCTGCTTTTACTCCCTGTATGACAGACGCTCCTGAACCGGCACACACTGCAACCGTCTTCACCATAGAGTCTAGCGCGACAAATAAATGACGTTAGGTGATAATAATCACACACGTTACGCCCACTGTTCGGTCTGACTCTTATTTTTCAGCTATTTTCTGTGAATGTGAGATTTCCAGCTCATTAAATAACTAAGTGCAGTAAACGGTAAAACTATTTGTGCTACAAACCATTTTGGATATGATTACTAGGGCCCTAATAGTCGACCAAATGTTAGTTGATGACCGTCCAAATTTTACTTAGTTGGTTGGTCCATGTGGCAATTGACCTATGGCTAAGCCACGCCCTCAAACGCGATGAGCCAATCACAGTGCGCAGGTAACCCAATACACTCGGACATTCTGAAATGCATTGCAGTTAGTCAGTTTTCATTTGTGTTTTTTTGTTATTTTAAGTTTAAAATGGTCAAACGGTGTGTATGGGGTACATGCAACTCCGACAGTAAGTTCCCGAGAGGCTGGGCGACGGTGTGTATTTTTTTACCCTTTCCCAAGCCACATCTCAACCGAGATAAGCGTCTGCTCAGGATTAAGTTATGCGGTAGACCACAACACCAACTAAATGTGGATAAATTAATATAATTGAATAAATGCTTTTTGTTTTATCGATATAATGAACAACCGTTTATCTATTCACAAAACTTAAGTTTACTCAGTGTATTGTTTTATTTATGTGTAGCCAACTGTGTTAAAATCATCCTGTACACTGATAACATTACATCGTCTATCATTTTGTTTAACTTTATACACGATTGTCTTACACAAAATAGCATCGAACTAACTGGCTATATACACAAACAGTGTTGGCATTGGTTCACGTTCATTTATGTGTGCACTTGAGCGCTTTAAAGGCTTATTGCTATGGTTTAATATTTCTCTGTGATGTAGAACAATGTTATCAATGTTACATAATATTCTTTCTCAGCCCTGAAACTCAAACATTTACTTTTACATTACAAATAAGGTGGATATCTCTCATTCCCCACCTAATGTTTGCTGGTCCCCCAGGGCGAGTCTCAAATGGGGCAAACCCAAGTGAGTCTTCATTTTCTGCACTGCTGTGGAAATAGACACTGGATTATCCAGAACACTGAGTCGTCCCTGACCACAACCCAACAAGGGAGGCTAGAGAAGAGAAAACAAAAACAGGTCAAATTAAAATGATATATCACAATGTTAATTATCAAATTCAATTAAAAGTGTTTATAATATATGGTCCTAGAAATATATATATATAATTAGCAGTAGACACAAATCATCATCTGTTCTGTGCAATTATAATGTAATATATAATATTAGCTTTTTTTCTGGCTGTTTTTAGCATTTTCTGTTCACAGTTATGTTTGTGCCAATTACTGTGAAATCTCTTCTGCTCACCATGGCTGCATTTATTCGATCAATAATACAGTAATAATACTGTGAAATATTATTACAATTTAAAATAATGTCTATTTGAATACATTTTGAAATGTAATTTATTCCAGTGATCAAAGCTGTATTTTCAGCATCATTACTCCAGTCTTCAGTCTTTCATTTCAATATGCAGATTTCCTGCTTGAGAAACATTTCTTATTTTTAGAAATGTTGAATTTTTAGAGTTAGAAAACACCTGCAACATTTCAGGGTTGTTTGAAGAATATTAAGTTCAAAAGACCAACATTTATTTGCAATATAAATCTTTTTTTATTATTATAAATGTCTTTACCGTTGCTTTCAATCAATTTAAAGCAACTTTTCGGAATAAAATGTTTGATTTCTTTAAAAAAAATATCTTTCTGACGAATCAAAGATGACGGATACCAAAAAAACTAGTAAGTGTTCTTGTTTCCTCACCTGCTGGACTTGTGTGATGTTCAGGGATTGGAACGCATTAGGATTTGAAACCAGAATCTGCACAGCAGCAGTTAGTGCTGAACTATTACAAGTCAGATTCACCTGCTGCCCTCCGCTTTCACTTCTGAAGATGAATGTGGAGCGGTATTTGAATAAATGTCAATGTATAACGTACATATCTTGAGCAAAATTTCTTGCAAATGTATACTTACCTTATTGTAGAGGACTGAAAAGTTGCGCTGCCTTTTATGAGTCTTATCTGCTCCAAAAGCCTGTTTAATTCCTCTTCATTCATGGACGAGAACTCGAGCCTGTGTTTCTGAGGGCCGCTAGAGTGGGCTTGACTTAATACTGACACTTGTCCGCTGCCTGTGAATAGAGGCACAAGTAAGATTGTCTGACTGTTTGACCCAGACTACAGAAAAAGTGTTCCTTCTTACCCATTCCTCCAACCAGCCAATCATTAACGCCTCCTTTGGCACTGTCCCATGAAGTGTGCGGGGAGAAAATGGCAATGCCACCCTCTATTGCTCTGATGGCCAACCTCTGCTTCCAGTCCTTCTGAAGCAGACTTTTGAAAGGTCGAAAGAGTGGCGGGTGGTATGAGACGATGAGGTCGCAGTTCATCGCTACAGCTTCATCCATGACGCTTGTTGTCAGGTCATTGGTCAGCAGGATTGTTTTGACTGGACGTGGTTTGCTGGGCTCCACCAACAGGCCAACGTTATCCCACGATTCGGCCAATGACAGTGGAGCGAACTGTTGGAGAACATCGAGCACTCCCTGTAAATCCATGTGTCCAGCAGAATGGGGGAAACCAGATAGATATCGAATAACTTTATTAGACTGGAGGAGTACAGGAAAACTAGACCTCGAGGGAGCGGGGTGTCGAAAAGACAAACGTGGGCCAGGGGAATATACAAAAGGTGAAGCGAGAAATGAATGCGAGGATGTAGAAAGCTGTGAGGTACAGAGAAATCTGTTTTTGAAGGAGATGCTACAGCTCAGATGGAGAAGTTTTCCAGAAAGTTCCTTACATCTGGTGAACATGAGGAACCTGTGAAAGAATAACGTTAAATGTCACATTTAGAAACTTATGTCTAATATCAAACATCCAATTCAAGTACAGGACTTTT